GTATATGACATGAAGATATACAATGCACCAGAGTTTTTCAAATATTTGTTTATTTATTATGAATAAATAAAGTAACATCAGAGAGACTCCAAGTTAGAAGATTAGGGAATGACATTGTGTGCTATGCTAAGGATAAATGGTTAAAAAAAATAAAGAAATGTAGGAAGTGTACTCTCAGGGGAGAATTGGAGAGAAAACTGCCCTGTAAATCCTACAAGAGGAAGGAGAATGACATGGACCTGTGTGGAGGGTGCAGAGGTGCAGAAGTGCAGCATGAACACCGACACAACAAAGGACTACAGCAGTCGAGAACTGGTGTGAACAGCAGCTCAGAGATGGAGGTGAGAATGGACTGCAGCAACCCACAGTGAGATAGCCAGAGGGAGAGCCTGGCCTGAGTTCAGACTGCAGCCCTGGGAGCTAGCAGATGCTGGCAGCAGTCAGTGGACCTAGTGGAATTAGAGAGGGCACTGCACTTTATTTCTCCCCAATTTCCCCATAGCAGTTCCAGCTGCCTGACTAAGAAAGGGTGGCCACCATTTTGGGTTGGGGAACAGCTGCAGAAAACTTTGTGCATGCTCACAGCAACTGGCTGAGACAGGACACCATTTTCTTGGAAGTACTGGTGATAGTGGTTGGGGAGAGCAACATTTGGCCAGTGGCCCTTGTGTATGTGTGTGGTCCAAAGATTGTAGCATAGGGAAAAATCCACAGTCCCCACTGACTTTGAAACTGGATGGCAGGTGGCTGGGAAACAACACAGGACAGTGAGGCACCAGCAGCATCCCAGGATCAAGACGCCTAGGCAGAGCTGTCTCGGGGAACATCTTCCTCTCTGCTGACTGGAAAGGCAGGCAGAACAGAATGAAACCTCTGCACCCTAGACTGCAGGAGACTTGTGTGCTGAGACTGTGGGGACTTGGTCAATACATGAGAGGATGCACAGTGTAGCTGGGTATCTGGGTGTAGTTCCACATGCTTGGAGCTTATTGGTTGCCTAGGGTTGGTCAATGCAGTGGGAACTGTGCTCACATTGAGGTCTGTGCAGATCATTTGTGCAGTTCTTATGGTGGTGTGGATGAGTACTGAACACATTGGGGGCTACACACAGGCATTGTTCAGCTTGGAGGAGGTGAGGAGGTGATCACACCAAGAAACATGACCATTCCCCCATTTTGTTAACAAGAGTTCTACCATGCCCAACTTGGGTATTGCCTTGTATAGTACTCCAACTTGGAGCACAGACCAGAGCTCCTGGCCACACCCACCACATACCCTTTGGTATTCAGTGTAAGTGCAGACACTACACTAAGCAACAGAGGCATAGATCAAAGATAAAAACCATCAGAAGAAAAAAAAAGCAATTAACTCCACAAATGCCTAAAAATAAATGCAGAAATTAAAGAAATGAGAATAAGGAAGATACCATGACTCTGCTTCCCCAAAGGAACACAACAACATCAATATTAATAATGTGAAGATGAGGATATTGAGGAAATGCCAGAAACAGAATTAAAAAAATTAATCAAATTATAAAGCAATCAGAAGCAAATCCATAAGCCAAAGAAAACTATGACATGAATGAAAACCTTTCCCACGAAATTGAGATTGCAAAGAGAAATCAAAATGAAATATTACAAATGAAGAATTCATTAGATCAAATAAAAAATGTGGTAAAAACCCTGAAGAGTAAACTTGGTGAGCCAAAAAAAAAAAAAAGAATGTCCGAGCTAGAAGTTAAATCATTGGAAATTTTTTGAACAGACCAAACAAAACCAAGAAGAAATTAGAAAACTTAAAAAATATGTTGGAGATTTAGGGACGCTATCAAATGTTCCAACATACAAGTATTAGGTGTTCCTTAAGGTGTGCAAAGAGAGAATGGACTAGAAGTCTTATTTAGTGAAATAATTACAGAAAACTTCAGCAATGTGGAGAAAGAAAGAGGTGTCCAAGTACAGAAAGTACATGGAACTCCTAATAGCCATGACCAGACAAGATCTTCACCATGACACTCTGTAGCCAAACTTTCAACAGTAAAACATGAAGAAAAGATTGCAAAATGTGCACAAGCTAAACATCAGATTGCTTTAAGGGATCTCTAATTAGACTCACAGCTGATTTCTCATCAGAACTCTACAGGTTAGAAGAGAATGGAGAGACATAGTCCAAGTCATAAAAGAAAAAAAAAAAAAAAAACTGTTGGCCAACGCCATGGCTCAATAGGCTAATCCTCCACCTAGTGGCGCCAGCACACCGGGTTCTAGTCCCGGTCGGGACACTGGATTCTGTCCCGGTTGCCCCTCTTCCAGGCCAGCTCTCCGCTGTGGCCTGGGAGTGCAGTGGAGGATGGCCGAAGTCCTTGGGCCCTGCACCTGCATGGGAGACCAGGAAAAGCACCTGGCTCCTGGCTTCAGATCAGCGTGATGCGCCGGCTGCAGCGCACCGGCCATGGCGGCCATTGGAGGGTGAACCAATGGCAAAAGGAAGACCTTTCTCTCTGTCTCTCTCTCTCACTGTCCACTCTGCCTGTCAAAAAAAAAAAACAAAAAAAAACTGTTAATCCAGAATACTGTACCCTGAAAAGCTCTTGTTTATGAATGGGGGTGAAATAAAGACCTTCCATAATGAATAGGAATTGAAAGAATTTGTCATTACTCATCCAGTCTTACAAAAGATGTTTAAAGATGTGTTACACACAGAAATATAGCCATCAGTACTCAAGAATGTGAAGGCACAAAACCCCTCAGTAAAAATTCAAAAGAAACCCAAAGTAAACAATAGGAATATTTATGGAAAAATGGCAGGGTCAAGCTGTTACTCATCAAATAGTCATCTTGAATGTAAGTGACCTAAACTCTAGTTAAAATATGCAGACTGGCCAAACTGATTAAGAAACAAGACCCAACTACTTGCTGCCTACAAGAAACACATCTCAACAACAAAGACACATGCAGACTTAAAGTGAAAGGATAGAAAAATATATTCCATGCTAATGAAAACAAAAAAGGACAGGTATTATCATTCTGTTATCAGAAAAAGAAGATTTTAAAACAAAAAATGTTAAAAGAGATGAAGAAGGTCACTGTGTTATGATTAAGAGATCAACTGAACAGAAAAGTGTTACTATAATAAATGTTTACACACCCAATTACTGCGCACCTGCTTATTTAAAAGAAATGTTAGTGGATATAAAGGGAGACACAGACTCCAATACAATAGTAACAGGGGAATTCAATACCCCAGTTTCATCAATGGACAAATCAACTAGACAGAAAATCACTAAGAAACAGCAGAGCTAATCAACTCTATGGAACAAATGGACCTAACTGATATTTAAAGAACTTCTCACTTCATAGTTGAAGAATACACAGTCTTCTCATTAGAACATGGAACTTTCTCTAGGATAGACCATATTCTAGGCCATAAAGTAAGTCTCAGCAAATCAAAAAATGAATGGAATCATATCATGCATCTTCTCTGACCACAATGGAATGAAGCTGGAAATCAATAACTCAAGAATATCTAGATCATATTCAAACAGATATAGATACAAAGTGATGCACCATTAGCCCAATTAAGCAAAAATAAGAAGAGAGAAATTAATAAAATCAATGATGATAAAGGAAATGTAACAGATATCACAGAAATAAATGAAATCTTGACGTTTGCAAAATCTTGGGTGGAAGTGAAGTTCATTACGTTAAGTGAAATATATTAAACATGGAGTCTTTCAAAATTTATCTTATAGAACATGAGTATAATAGCAGTCACCAAAAGCTGGGGAAAGTTGACAGGGAAGAGGGATGAGGAAAGTTTGACTAACAGGTTCTAAGTTACAGTTACACAGGATTAGGAAGTTCTGATGTTCTGTTTCTTGGTAAGATTACTATAGATCATAGCAATGTGCTGTATATTTCTTAAAAAAAAAAACCTAGAGAAAGAATTTTGAGTGTTTTCACGGTAGAAAAGTTTTACACTAGATAGATATGCATGTTTGATTTGGTATCACACAATTCTCTATATGCATCAAATTTGGTCCTTTTTGTCTTCCTTCTTCTGCCACATGGGAACACAAGATTCCTCACCTCTGGGATGCATTGTTAATGGTGCCACCTTGGGAACGGACAATCACCTTCACCAGATGGCAAGGATATGTCCTTACGTTTACCAGCCTCAGGAACTGCAAGAAATAAATTTGTGTTTTACAAATCACATAGTGTTTGACATTCTGCTACAACACCATAAAAGGACTATGGCACACATAATGAGTCTTCAGTATGAGACAGGATCCCCAAGTTTAAGAAATGTGAATTAAATTAAATAAGTATTAATAAATATTATGCTGAAACTTCAGAATATCACAGGGGTAGAAACAAATAAGTAGATATGATCTGAACTCACATCATGATTGAAGTGAATTTAAGACACTCTGAGTTTTGTTCATACTATTCTGTTAGCCCACAGAGGACAGAGATCAAATCTTGTTTGCCTTTAAACCTTTACTATCTAGTAAAGTCTCACACTTAATACTCTATGATTTTGAAGAACTTACAAGGGAGACAATTTTTGGTTATTATAGGAGTATAAGCAAAAGTATGTAAGAGCACAGAAGGCCGGCAACGCGGCTCACTAGGCTAATCCTCCACCTAGGGGTGCCGGCACACCGGGTTCTAGTCCCGGTCGGGGTGCCGGATTCTTTCCCATTTGCCCCTCTTCCAGGCCTGCTCTCTGCTGTGGCCCAGGAAGCCAGTGGAGGATGGCCCAAATGCTTGGGCCCTGCACCCCATGAGAGACCAGGATAAGTACCTGGTTCCTGCCTTCGGATCAGCGTGGTGCGCCAGCTGCAGTGCACCAGCCATGGAGGCCATTGGAGGGTGAACCAATGGCAAAAGGAAGATCTTTCTCTCTGTCTCTCTCTCTCACTATCCACTCTGCCTGTCGAAAAAAAAAAAAAGCACAGAACAAGATATAATTATGTTTTGAATGGGGTAATAGAGAAGAAGTATTCAAAGAGAAAGTTCATGAATCAAATGGGAGGGATTAGTATGGCAATAAGAGAATGACCTGAACTAAAATATGGAGGTAAATGTCAAGTTTGTTCACCTTTAGTAACTGTATTTGGCTAGGCTATAGAAGGAATGTAAAGATATAGGGATACAAGTGAAGGTTATTTTCTGTCAGAGACTGACTGTGAAATACTGCAAGTAGGGTCAGGCTAAAGAGCTGCAGAGTTGAAGTCTAATAAATAGAATTTGAATGTTCACTAAAAGTAAAGATGATTCACCAATTTTGCTTGTTTAAACAGGGAAAAATAATGATCAGAGACATGCAAGCTTTGGAAAGACCAATTTTTCTAAAGATAGAATATTTAAGATATATTACAAGAAGAGATCATGAAAAAATACCACCAGAATAGTTCAGATGAGGAAAATATGCCCTTGTATTTTTGAAATTTTGTTTACTTTCACTTATTTGAAAGGCATAGGAGGAAGAGAGATAGAGAGAGTGACAGAGAGAGGTTGATTCTGACAGATAAAAATCTTCACCTACGGGTTTACTCCAAATGCCTGCAACAGCATGACTTGGGCCTGCCTGAAATCAGAAAATTGGAACTCAATCCATAAATCCCAAGTGGGTGGCAGGATCCCAAATACTTGAGCAATAACCTGCTGCCTCCTAGGCTGAGAAATAACAGCAAACTGTAATCCAAAGTGGAACTGTAACTCAAACCCAGACACTCCAAAATGGGATGCTGTGTACCAATCACCATCTTCACCTTTCATCTTCAAGTTTCTCATATTTTTAAAAATAACTTATTTATTTATTTGAAAGGAAGAGCAGACAGAGAGAGAGAGAGAGAGAGAGGTCTTCCATCAGCTGGTTCACTCCCAAAATGGTTAAAACATCTGGAGCTGGGCCTTCTGAAGCCAGGAGCCTGGAGCTTCTTTTGGATCTCCAATGTGGGTGCAGGAGCCCAAGCACTTGGGCCATATTCTGCTTCTTTTCCAGGAACAGCAGCAGGGAGCTGGATTGGAAGTAGAGCAAAGAGACTTGAACCAGTGCCCATATGGGATGCTGTCAATGGCAGGCAGCATTATGCCACAATGCCAGCCTCCAATTTTCTCATTTGACCTTATCTTTAAAATGTCTTATTTCTATAAGCATTAGATTAAATTAATAATGAAAGTAGAAGTGCATATATAAGAGCTGCAATTATGGTGCTGAGTATTTATAGATATTCATAAGTATTATAAAATAATAGAATGAAAGATCAGAATATGATATTCCCAATATACCACTTGATTTAAACCATGTCACAGTTTTTTGCCTAGGTCAGAGCTGAGCTTCTTTTTATGATTTTTAGACTTAACACTTCTATATGGTGCTCCACTTCATTTCTATCTTGGACTTTCAATGATGGTTTTTCTTTTTTCTGTAAACATAGAATTAATTATGTTACATTCATTTTGAATGGTATTACTAACAAGGGTATAATCACTTTTTAAAAAGCTGTGACATCTTACTTAACAAGAAGCCTAATCCTGGGAAAGAAAACATTACAGTTGTTAATCTGCATGAACAGAAGTGAAATATACAGAGTATAAGATACATGAATCCAACTCTATTAGTGTATTTTCAGTTTCAAGCATTACTATCTTATATTATATTCACAGTTATCTTGACCACAGAAAATAAGATTTTTGAGTGTTACTACCTGACTTGAAATAGACTCACTGGCTGGGTTGATTCTACTCAATATTGGCATTACACAAAATTTTTTAGTGACTAAGTTTATCAAACAATAGAATTACCTTTGTTAGTGTCTAGTAATTTCTCTACTAGTGGCTTCTGCTGAAGTATAACATGAACTGCTCTTTAGGAAGCAGTGGAAGGAAAATCAACCAATCTAGGGTCACTGACTTTTTTTATTTTGACAGGCAGAGTGGACAGTGAGAGAGAGAAAGTTCTTCCTTTACCTTTGGTTCACCCTCCAGTGGCTGGTGCAGCCTCCGCGCTGCACCGCGCTGATCCGAAGCCAGGAGCCAGGTGCTTCTCCTGGTCTCCCATGCGGGTGCAGGGCCCAAGCACTTGGGCCATCCTGCTCTGCACTCCTGGGCCACAGCAGAGAGCTGGCCTGGAAGAGGGGCAACCGGGACAGAATCCGGCGCCCCGACCAGGACTAGAACCCGGTGTGCCAGCGCCGCTAGGTGGAGGATTAGCCTAGTGAGTCGTGGCGCCCGCGGGTCACTGACTTTTAAACTATGATATTCAGCAACATCCTTCTTCGTTCTATTTGCAGACAGTTTTTCTATGCAGTTTGAGTTTTTAAAGCTAAAAATGATTTCTTATTGATTAGATTCTAATAAAGTTAGCATTATCATTTGAGTGATTGTCACCTGCTAGGTGATATTGTAGAAGTTTTATGACAACCTTAAAATAATGTTTTCACAATTTTATAAATCAAAAACCACGATCATATCATATGATATGATGTTGAAGAAAATAATACAAATATTGTGTATTTTTTACCATTTATAATAAACTGATTTTCTGCATCCGTTCATCTATGCATACATACTATGTAGCACACACACACATACAAATGATCAGGATGATATGAACTGAAATGACTATTGTGACTCTCTCTGGCTTATGGGTTATGAGGATTCCCAATTTCTAATGATATGTACTACCTCTGTAGTTAGAGAACAATAATTACATTGGAATTTATGTATCTATTTAGAAAGACATATACTTAAGATAGGATAGTGAAGAAGTAGCACAATTTGACGATGTTTCTTAAAGTAGAGCAAGTTGAGAGAAGGGAGCTAAGTCTTACCTCAGCACAGAATGTTGAGTTTTCTTTGTCCCGTGCTTTGCTTTTTTTTTTTTTTTTCCAGGCAAATTTCACTGTCATTGGTTATAGAGGGCAGGGGAAAGAAGAATGGCTCAACTGCTTAATGATGACAAATAGCAGCTTTGGTCCTTACCTGGGAGGCTATGGTAACCTGGGTCTGCCTTTTGTGTGTGCCCATAGGCTACATGCAGGAATTCAGCGTGGTAGCTGCAACCTGGCGAGGCTCCAGTTTGGCGTGTGTCTAACATTGTCTGGGGAACACTTTGTGCCTGCTGAGGCACACTCCTCTCCCAGGGACTACAGCTAACGAAACAAAAGCTGCTGGTGCCAAGGCTACCGGTCTTATCTGTAAATCACTTATTTCTTTTTTCTTGTCTCTTCAAGGGTACTTTGACCTTAACTCAGAGCTTGAGCAGGCACAACTCATCAATTTTTAACTGACAGGTTAAAAGATCAAATGGATTTAGCTTCCCTGATTCCTGGAACTGCATTAGGCTTTATATGTGAGTATCTTCTTTGGCCTATTCAGGTGCATGGGTATGTGTGCATGTGTACTTGTGTGGTGCATGTATTTACAACAAGATATACATTATCAATAATCCAAAAGTTTATAAGAATTAATTTTACTTGTTGTTTTTTAGAAGTTGTAATTTCGACATTAGCCAATTTTACCCTGTCAATATTTCTGTGTTCTAGGATGAAGATGTGGAAATAAAGAGAAGGGAGGATAATGGGATTTTTTTCTAATTTTCATTAGTGATTGTATATCTTTGATGAAGAAAACAAAGACTAGAGAATAAGGGAATTTTTTTAAAAAGATTTATTTATTTATTTGAAAGTCAGAGTTACACAGAGAGAGGAGAGAGAGAGAGAGAGGTCTTGCATCTGATGGTTCACTCCCCAACTGGCCACAACGACCAGAGCTGGGCCAATCTGAAGCCAGGAGCCAGGAGAATTCCTCCAGGCCTCCCACGTGGGTCCAGTGGCCCAAGGACTTAGGACATCTTCTACTGCTTTCCCAGGCCATAGCAGATAGCTGGATGGAAAGTGGAGTAGCCGGATCTCAAACCAGCACCCATATGGGATGCCAGCGCTTCAGGCCAGGGCATTAACCCACTGCACCACAGCACCGGTCCCCAGGAATTTTTCACTGTTAGAAAACTAGTTGTTGAAAAATAGACTAAAACTGCCATGTCCCAACCTTATTGTGGTATTCTTTACACAGAATTCCTCAGGAATGTCTTTCTTGGTATCCATGAAACACTTAGAAAATATACCTTTTTTTTTTTTTTTTTTTGACAGGCAGAGTGAACAGTGAGAGAGAGAGAAAGGTCTTCCTTTTCCATTGATTCACCCCCAAGTGCCACTGCGGCCGGTGCGCCGCCGCTGGTGCACTGCACTGATCTGAAGCCAGGAGCCAGGTGCTTCTCCTGGTCTCCCATGCGGGTGCAGGGCCCAAGGACTTGGGCCATCCTCCACTGCACTCCCGGGCCACAGCAGAGAGCTGGACTGGAAGAGGAGCAACAGGGATTACAATAACTACTTCAGGAATATCACTGAAATGCTAGCAGGATTAGTTTTGGGGCGTGAGATCACTTCTGATGTTTACTAACTTTGTGGTTATATCTAAATTATCTAAAGTTCCTACTTAAGGTTTATTAACCTAATGATGATATATACACATTTTAGAATATTTATTGCTCACTCTTTTATGAGTGCTCTGTTAAGTACTTCAGATGAATCAGTACTGTCATTTAATTTTCATAGCCCATCTCAATAATAGGTTATTGTATGTTTGTGCTAATACAATAGAACTCAAAAGTGACAGAGTCCAGGAGTTACTCTAAAAATGCATCTGTTTTGTTCAAAGAATTCTTCTTGAGATATATGATTGAGTTCAAGTGAAATGCTATCCTGGTACCAGTGGCTGATTCCAGATAGGGTTCAAACGTTAATGCTTTCCTAAGAAGCCACTTAACGATCTGAAAAGGAAAGTTTCTATTTTGAGTGAGTCTAGACTGCTCCCAGATTAGTGACCAGGAACATTTACTCCACAGGGTCAACAGAGAGGCAGCCTCCTTGGTTGCTTAAACATCTGTACAAATAAAGACTTAAAATGATCATTTATATCCACATTCATTAAATATTAAACATGAAGTACTCCAAAATGAGTAACTGAAGAGGAGGAATTTTGTGGTTCGTTCCAGTCCTTTTATTCACTAAGATTCTCCCAATTTCCTTGCCTCACTGTCTGACACAAGGCCGAAGGCAGCACTTTAAACAGCAGAACTCCACTGGCCTTTGAAGGCCCCAGAGCATGCTGCCAGTGTTAATGACTAACCATGTAGACTAAGGTTCACTGTACAGACCTTTAGAAGTAACTCACTCAGTTTTGTCTGGGACTGGAAGGAAGAATACTCTCTGTGGTCCTGCTAAGGCCCATGATTTACAACAGGGACATCTACGTCCAGCAGTCGATGTGTCTTGCTGGTTTCTCCCGGGTTAATTTAAAAGCCAGAAAACTATTCTAAATTTCTTTTATGGAACAGAATAAATTTTTAAAAGACCTTTAGGAAGGAGGCTTCCCTTTCACAGTTTGAAGCTTTGGGTTTCAGGGTACCAAACCAAAATGCAACTGTAAGTTCACAGCTTGTCTATTGGCTTTCTGCTTTGTTTTCTATACCCTTTGGGTCTAGCAATAGATAAGGTTATGCTCACTGGGATATCAAAAAAGAAGCCACCCAGAAACACAAGGATTCATTTTCAAGTAATATTCTAGATGACTTTGTGTTTCCTTAAGTCGAAACCAGCTCCATGAGTTTTATCCCATATACTCTTTTTTTTTTTTTTTAGATTTTTATTTATTTGAGAGGTAGAGTTACAGACAGTGAGAGGAGACAGAGAGAAAGGTCTTCCTTCTGCTGGTTCACTCCTCAAGTAGCCGCAATGGCTGGAACTGTGCTAATCAAAGCCAGGAACCAGGAGCTTCTTCAGGGTCTCCCATGTGGGTGCAGGGACCCAAGCACTTGGGCCACCTTCTACTGCTTTCCCAGGCCATAGCAGAGAGCTGGATTGGAAGAGGAGCAGCTGGGACTCGAACCAGCACCCATATGGAATACTGGCACCACAGGCATAGGATTAACGTACTGCATCACGGCGCCGTCCCCCGTGTACTTTTTTATGATGTCAGAGAGAGCCCCTGACAAAGAAAGGTTCATAGTAATAACTGTTTCATGAAAAGCGCATGCTCCTCCAGATCTTGAGTAACTTTAAAAATCCCCACAATGCTGAGAACTCTATTTGTAGTTGTCTATAAGCTAAAAAAAAAAAAAAATCCTCAAATTCCAACATTCAAAGAATTCAAGGTAATACATGATTGTTGGCTGGAGTAGGATAATACAAGAACTGTTCCTGGTTCAGATGCAAATTTAGGGATTCAAAGACTCTGAAATGGTCTAGGGAAAGTAGAACTCTCCTAACCTCTGATGAACAGCATGAATTTCTAGTGCTTTCCTGGGGGGAGTAACTACTAGTGATCCCTGGATTCATGTCACTGCATTCACCATCTAGCAACATGGAGAGATCTAATGTGTATATGGGCCCAGACCATAGTCATTGCTTGATCATCTCCTAGGTGATCATATCTTTGACCTCCAGGATATCAAAGTCCTAAGTGAGTGACTTGCAGCTGACAGTCTCTGTATCCCAGCTCTCCTTTCTCCACCCCATGCAGCTGAGCCTATCCTTCACAGCCTACCCTTCACAGCTCTCTGGTGGACATGTAAGTAAACACCTGGGTGTTTCACCTCGGATGGAACAGGCATGAAGATTCACATTTGTGATCTATATTTGTAAGTCAGTGAGTAGTTATGTAACTGTCAGATGAAATTTTTTATGACATTAATATTCTACAATTAAAGTCATTCTTAGGAGTATAGATCAATGGGAAAACACAAAACCAGGGTAGCACCTGGTACTGTAGAAACAAAACAAAACAAACACAGCATATGTTGAGGATTCAATGTATTGGAGTACCAGTAATAATGTGATGTAGGAAAAAAAAATCCCTGTTGTTTCTAGAATGTTCATCAGTTCTCTCATCTGTAAAAGGAAGTAATTTGAATTGCAGTGGTCTAAAGTCTGTTCATGAAAAGCTGTCCCCAAACTCTTTTAAAAAGACAAACTGCATTAACAAGTAACCTTAAATGAGAAGATGGTTAGCAAGCAAAGTATTTTATTGCAGTCCCAAATGTGTACCACTTGTATGACAAGTGGGTGAGGGTAGAGAACATTGCTGCATTGACCCTGTTCATAAATTCTCACAGTGATTCTTGAGCACCTTTTGCAGAACTCACCTCTCTCCAAGTGGGATAAGCTTTCCTAGTCACAGCCCAGCCCTTGTTGATTGCAGCATTAAAGAAGAAGAGTGTGCTATCCTCGGAGAAAGGAGTTGTCTGTTTTCCCTGAAAGTCTCATATTCTATTTTTTTCAATGAAATAAGGCATCAAATGGCTAATGCCTGCCTGAAATGGTATTAAAGATAATTGTGGGGGTTGGCATTGTGCATGGCAGGTTAAGCTGCTGCCTGCAGTGCCAGCATCCTGTATGAGGTCCAGTTCAAGACCCAGTTGCTCTGATTTCAATCCAGCTCCCTGCTGATGAACCTGGGGAAACAATGGAGGATGGTCCAAATGTTTGGGCCCCTGTACCCACATGGGAGAACTGGAAGAACCTCCTGGCTCCTAGCTTTCGCCTGGCCCAGCCTCAGCAATTGTGACCATTTGAGGGGTAATCCAGCAGGTGGATGACCCCTCTCTACCTCTCCCTCTCTCTCTGTAACTCTGCCTTTCAAATAAATAAAATTATCCTTTTTTAAATGACTAATTATGTCCTGGAAAGTATTATTCAATTACAGCAGATAACTATGACTTCTAGTGTCCCTAGTATGTGTTTAGTCTGTCACTGATATTTTTACTCATTATATATCTTTACTCACAAAATCTCACTGCATAGCTAGTGAGAGAAAGATTTTTTAACTAATTAGTAACCCGAGACTCACAAAGATGAAACCATTATCCAAGTTCATACAGCTAAAATCCAGATTATCTGAATCCTGATTGTTGCTTTCTCTTTAGAGTCTCAGATATAGAAATGTTTTATGTTATTTCTGATACCAGTATGTCATCAGCATCCAATATTGATTTGTACTGTATTGTAAGGCCACATATTGTAGACTGTTATATGGTTGTAGTTGTGCACACAAGAGCAAGGATTCTGATCCTGACTTTTGTCTATAATACAGTCACTCTGATTCATCTTTACGGTAATCTCACAGTGGATTGTGCTGGAGTTTCCTAATACATTATGTTAGTAAAAAATCTATTGGCCTTTGCCATGGATAGATTTTTTACTAACATACAATACAGTACAAATCAATACTGGATGCTGATGACATACTGGTATCAGAAAAAACCTCCCATGGGGAGTAAGTTTCAATCCATGCACTTATGCTGTTGATTCCAAATTGTTGCCAGTAGATGGCGATGTGCATTAGCAAACATCCTTAGAAAATAAGAGCACTTCCTTTGCTTTCCCCAGGGAAGGATCACCGAGAAAAACCAAAGAGACAAATATTATCTGAGGGAAAAATATTAAATAAATGATGCCGCAAAAAGTCACAGCTGTGTGATTTATAAAACTGTGAGTTAAGTTTTTAATAAGACATGAAGCAATTCCTATCTAACTGTACCTATGAGAATAATGCCGGTGAGTCAAAGCAAATAGAAATTCTATTCAGTCTGATGGGCAGATGCTTAATAATACAGGGAAATGTTGGTACTGTCTTGACATCAGCCTAACTATGGAAATGCTAAATTATTTTTCAATATAATAAATTTTAGTGCTTCCTTCTTTTCTGTCCAGAAATATTTCCCATTCCTTGGCTCTATTTCTCATGCTTAGAAATCTCTCTTTTAAAACCTCTACCTCTACAAAAAAAAAAAAAAAGCAGCAAATTATCAATATTATTTAAGTATCATATCTGCCTTGTATTTTTCTTGAAATTTCCTTTGACAGTGGTTCCAAAAGGACTCTGTCTATTGTCTCAGCATTGGGCTTTGTGATCAACATGTGCTTATTGAATACTGAATAATTAACTAGTTAATGATATCATGGCCTAGTGATACTGAATTTTCTGTATAAATATTCAATCCTCATTTTCAAAATGTATTGAGTTCTACCAGACCCCTAATCACAAAGCTTAGGATTCTTGGAAAGGGAATAAGGAGCAATTAAATAGTTTGAATATAGCATGGTAGATGTTTGAGGGGGTGGATAGAGTATATGAAAGGATGGATGACAGTTCCTTCCTTCAGATGGTTTTTAGGATTTACATGATAGTTCCAAAAGAAATAATGTCTACTTTTGGATCTAAATAATGAGTAAGGGATTGTTGTCTTTTAAGAATATTCCAGGAGTTGCTACCACTGTGGTGTAGCAGGTTAGGCTGTCACTCATAATGCTGTTATCCTATATCTAAGTGCTGATATGAGTCTTGACTGTTCCATTTCTGATCCAGCTCCCAACTAATGTTCCTAGAAGAGCAACTGAAGATGGATGGTCTAACTATTTGGGCCCCTGCCACCCATGTGTAAGACATGGATGGGATTCTTGACTCTTGGCATTGGCCTAGCTTATTCTTGCCATTTTAACCATTTGGAGGTTGAACCAACAAGAGGAGAGAGCTATTTCTCTCTCTCTCTCTCTCTCTCTGTCTCTCCCTCTTGTTCTTTCTCTGTCACTCTGTCTTTTGAGTAAATAAATTAAAAAATCATTTTGAAAAAGAATATCCCAGAGAAAGAGCTAACATTTGAAAAAGACAAGAAGTCAGAAAAAATAATCACTTGAAGACAGAATTTTTAGCTTGTACAAGGGTTCTTCAAAAGGTTCATAGAAATGAATATTTTAAAACATCACATGGATTTCAAAATTTTTTTAAGCAAAATAAACTTATCACTCAACCCCATTTTTCTTTGAACTTTTCATTTTACCTGGAAGACACAATGTGATTGGGGAATATCAAAATAAGGTGGAAAACTTAGGTCCCGGTTGTTCAAGAAATTTTTCCTTATGAGAAAGAGAAAGTGAATATAGTGATTCATGCATGGAGGTGATGTGATCACATTTATATTTTTCAACATTCATTGTGACTAACATGGGAAAACTACACTGTTTATGCATCAGTAGGGAAAAGAGAACATGGCACAATACTGGAAACAGAGAGACCAATTGGGAAACTGTTACAGAACTTCAAAATTACATGATGATTACCAGAATATTACACATACCTATACAAGGTGGGCCAACTAGAAAGCTTTTGGGGGATTCCAAACTACAAGGGTAAATAAAATATCACTAGAGTGATAAAACATTTATGTACATGTAAGAAAATGGAGAAATTGGTAACTATCAAAGCTCTTCCCTGAGAAAACACAGTATATTTTTAAGGAAACAACTTGACAATTTAGAGTGCTGATAGAGATCCAAGGCAGTATGCTCAAGATACCACAGATAAAAAGTCATTTGCTATTCTAGGATTGTAAATCTTGCTATTTGGCAAGGTTTTGTTTTGCTGATGTCTACAGGTTTGGAGACAGAGATTAATAGCTCAAAAAATAGTGGAGAGGGAGAGCACTATTTCCAATGTTCATGATTCTTCCAAATAATTTTCTTCTTTTCAAAATAATTGTTGAACAGATAAGGAATGCATGTTAAGAGACACAATAAATAATCTACTGATGAGACCCTCAATATTTAATTAATATTTGTTAGTGTCAGAGGAATTAAAGAGATATAAATTCCATCAATAGATGTTTACAAGGTAAAAATGATAGTTCACCGTAATTATAGATATAGAAATATGGGAGGAACCAGAATCAATATAACTACATCCAGGACTTAGACCTGAGGAACTAAATGATGCCATTTTCTATAATAAGGAAGAGAAGAGGCATGCTTGGGCTGACAAAGGGAGACAATAGAGGATAATTAAATATTGGATTTTTTAGAGATTTGTTTATTTTTTGAAAGGTAGATGGGGTAGGGTGAGAGCTTGCATCTGCTGGTTCACTCCCCAAGTGGTAGGGCCAAGGCTGGGACATAATAAATCTAGGAGCCAAGAATTCTATCCTGGTCTTCCACACTAGTGACAGAGTTCTGTTGTTTTTGCAGGCACATTAGCAAAAAGCTGTTGGCATCACAAGTGGCTAGCTTACTGGGTCACAACTCTGACCCCTAAGTTTTGCATTTTAAAAATTTGAAGTATGCATGACATTCAAGTGGATAAGTCAAATAAAAAATGAGTCTGAAGCTGAATATGGAGATTTGGATTGAATATATGTGTTTGGTAATTAAATTTTGAGTATATCAAATCACAAGAGAAAATATATACAATGACATGCAAAAATTATATGTAGATAAACACACAGGGAAAACTAATTGTCAACATTGAGTTAACTGATACATTCACTTTTGCACCCAATAATAGACGTATATTGATGGAGGAGTATATGTTTGTCATGTAGACCTGACTTCCATGTATATGCTTAGATGCTAGGTCGAAAGGAATAATTAAATCTGTTACTGTTTGTTATTCTTAAGTGTTGAAATTTAACTGAAATGTGATCCCTGTTAAACATAAGAGTGGGAATAAGAGAGGAAAGAGATGTACAATTTGGGACATGCTCAAGCTGACTTGCCCCAAATGGTAGAGTTAGAAACATACCAGGGGACTCCAATTTAATCCCATCAAGGTGGCATGTACCAATGCCATCTCACTAGTCCAAGTGATCAATTTCTGTTCACAATTGATCATAATGAAAGGACTAAGAGTCAAAGGGAGCACATAAACAAGTCTAGTACCTGCTAATACTAACTGATAGAATAAATAAAGGGGAGAGTGATCCAACATGGGAAGTGAGATACTCAGCAGACTCATAGAATGGCAAATGTCCTAACAGCACTCTGGCCTCAGAATCAGCCCTTAAGGCATGCGGATCCGGCTGAAATGCCCATGAGAGTATTTCAGGCATGGAAAGCCAAGACACTCTGGGGGAAAAAAAAAAACCTAAATGAAAGATCTCCACGAGTGAGATCCCAGTGGAAAGAACAGGTCTTCAAAGAAGGAGGTACCTTTCTCTGAAGGGAGGAGAGAACCTCCACTTTGACTATGACCTTGTCTAAACAAGATTAGAGTCGGAGAACTCAAGGGGCTTCCATAGCCTTGGAAACTCATGACTGGAGCATGTGGAGATTACTGAGGCCATAAACAAGAGTGTCAATTTGTAAAGTCACCAACAGGAGTCACTGTGCACTTACTCCTCATGTAGGATCTCTGTCCTTAATGTGCTGTACATTGAGACTTAATGCTATAACGAGTACTCAAACAATATATTTCACTTTGTGTTTCTATGGAGGTGCAAACTGGTGAAATCTTTACTTAATGTATACTAAACTGATCTTCTGTAAAAAAAAAAAAAGAAGAAATTATCAATTCCCAATTTGACTCTCACTGGGATTAAACTTGACAATAGGTCTGATCTGATTTCATCATCATTTAAAAAATCATCTATTATTTTTCACTTTATGTTTCTGTGTGGGAGCAAACTGTTGAAATCTTTACTTAATGTATGCTAAACTGATCTTCTGTATATAAAGAGAATCGAAAATGAATCTTGA